CCTCAGGAATAAAACCTCATTAGGCCCAAAATTACGAATTATGCTTCAAAATGACCAAAACGCCCCTGGGGTATTTCCTGCAAAACAAAACGCACTTTATGACTGGTTAGTGGTTAGCAGATGCACAGATGAGACGCTATGCGAAATGACTGACTAAATATAAGGGTAAAATTTGGGGTATTACAGGGTACCCCTTCGGATTCTTTACATTTTTTTCCACCCATTTCCTGAATTTTTTTCACCTTTTTCTGTTGATTTTAATTACAAGTGAGGTAAAGTTTTTGCAAGAGAGTTTATACCCAAGATCCGACAAAGGTTTCAGTTTCACCTTAGGAATTTTCTCATGTGATAACACTTCAAATTTTTGACATTGAAAGATGGGGTTTTCATCTAAAATATTATCGTAAATCACAACTTCCTCATTTTTATCTCCTTGATATGTGCTCGTTATAAATCATGCTTCTAATCCTCCACGAGGAGTTTATTCAAAGGGATATTACTAAACGCATTGATCAATTATGTTGTGCCTAAAACAAGAATCTTCAAACGAAGGATTTTTCATAAGTTTGGACAAAATAAACTCAATATTCTCATCTCCTACTTCAAAGGTAAACTCTTTATGCTTAACATTTTCTATGTATCTTGTAGTGGTGAGAAAATGTATTCTTAAAATAATAGGAATTTGGAAATCCTCATCCATTTCCATTATAAAAAATTCAGCATGAATGAACAATTATGGACACATCTTTCAGAATCCATAGTGGATATTTTACTAACCGGTCTGCTAATTGCAGAGATACATTAGTATATTTCATCTCACCCAGATTGATTTACAAGTTGATAAGTGAATTATTCTCACAATTTCCCTTAAATCACATAGGGAACGCTTAAAACTCATTTTTCCAATGTAACTAGGAATCGAGAAACTTCTCAGATCTTTTAATTTGAGGGAAACTTATTTTGAATTATCGCACTACATTTCTTAGTTAGGATGATTTTCTCATTGTCATTCAGCCTTATCTTATTTGATAAATTTTATTTTAACTTTTTCCATATGACGACGGCATTTGGGACATAACTCCAATTAAAGGAATGTTGATGGATAATTTCTTCAATATTTATAAGAACCTTTTAAATCTTCCTTCTATCTTAACTTTTGTAAGTCTTTGTGGGAATGGAATGGGTGGTTATACGGAAGAGGAGCAACATAAGGTTTTACCTTTTCCTCTTCTACAACCTCACTCGTACGTTGGGTTGGCTCACTCTCCTTAGTTTTGCCCTCTAATTTTTTTCACTTCGTAATTTGACAACTTTCAAGTTCCTTTTTTGATCTGGTTCAATTTGTCCTGGAAATATTCTACATGGTACAAAACAAATGGCTTGTATTTTTTTTCACTTGGGAGATTTGAGTCTCCAACATTTTACTGTGGGTGGTTATCGAGTCTACGTAAGATGCTATATGCCTGAGGATTTCGTTCATGTGTAAATTATGATTTTTAAATTCCTTATTTTGATTAGTTTTAGTTATGATTGTATTTTATATCATGATTTCAAGGTTGGAATTTAAAAGAGCAATAATAATCGTTTGTCCTTGAAAACCAAGAGGTCCAACTGCCTGTTGGGGAGAGTTATTTTTGTATGAAAATTTTGGATGGTCTCTCCATCCAGGATTATAAGTGTTATAGTAGGGTTTTCCTATCTAGTTTTTATTGTAGCTAATAATGTCTTTGTTGATTCCCTCGATTAGGAGCATCCTGCATTTTGTACTAGCATAGCCAACAACTCCACATATCTCACACATTTGAGAAGTAAAGGCTACACCACTCAAACTCATTTTATCAAACATTAGGAATAATGCACTTATGTTAAGGTGGTCTAGAGCATCTACCTCATATGAGCCTCTCTTTTAAGGTCCTCACTCATTGGAGTCGTAGTCGCTTCCCTTTTGATAATGGTTCTGAACCATATCCTCTATGTGAGCATACGCTTCATCGATATTTTTATCCATAAGTGTCTTGCTTGCAGCTGTGTATGATGTCATTCTTGTGGTATACAACAGACTATTATAAAAGTGTGGACTATCAACAATATTTTTCAGTCCATATTGAAGGCATAAATTGAGCATTTCCTTAAATATTTCTCATGAGAAAAAAATTCTTAGACTAATTGGTGAAATTATAAAATTTGATATCTAAAACAGCCACCCCGAAAATGGCGATAAAAACTTGATAGGTCGCAAACGCACGATTCTATTAGTGTAGTAAAATAAGTATCATTCCGCTGATGACCGTTTGGAGTATTGAATTTTCTTTTATTTTTAATTAGTTGAAACGATGATCAATTTGGGTTGAAGTGATTTTGATTGATTTAAATTTTAATAAATATAGACTTGAGGCTATGATTTTTATCTTTCAGACATATCAAGTAAGGTAATGTTCTTAACATTATTTTGACAAAATTTAGTTTTCAAAGAAATAATAAAAAAGAATTGGTTGCATCTTGTTTCGAAGCATATAGTTGTATCCTCTGTCACTCTGAGCCCCCTATTTTCATGGTTTGGTTAAGTGAACTGACCCTTTAAGAATTTTTATTTGCATTTGTATGGGCTTTCATGGATAAGCCTAAATTGTTTTCATATGTCGGCTTATTTGTGTGGTTTTTAATTTCGAATATCAAACTTAACATTTCAGTCCATCAATTAATATATGAATTTTCCTCTACTTTCATAAATGCATTTGTTAAGCGAATAAAAATTAGATTGTAAAATAGAGTTTTGTAAACACATTTTCGAGATAATTGGATTTACATGAATTGCACATGTTAACTCTTATTTATCATTATGTTATGAAAATTCATGTTCTTGCATAAATGAATAGATATAAGTGATCATACTTATTTCTGACAATGTATGATCTTGTCCTGAACCAATAAATTGCCTACTTTCATAGTGTATTTCATTCATTCAAGATCATTTAAAGATTTCTATTTTAAAAGGCGTTTTTCTCACTTAAACCAAAAACACTTTCGTAGTCTTCGGTCATCGTTTCAATTCGAATATTGGTTATACTCTTTCAGTAAACCAATAATATCTAAGACTATATATATATATATATATATATATATATATATATATATATATATATATATATATATATATATATATATATATATATATATATATATATATATATATATATATATATATATATATATATATATATATATATATATATATATATATATATATATATATATATATATATATATATATATATATATATATATATATATATATATATATATATATATATATATATATATATATATATATATATATATATATATATATATATATATATATATATATATATATATATATATATATATATAAAAGGCCCTAAAAGATCGTAGCAACCACAAAAATTCTCGTTTAAAGATATAGAATTGAGATCCTACATGAAGACTACCGTTTAGATAGTCCTCATGGTCCTAACTCTATATAAAACTACTAACACATGTTAAAGATAAATACATACATATTTTTAAAGATAGACATAAGTATAAGATAAAAGTAAATGATTGACAAAGAAAAAAAGGAAAGAGAACTTGAATCAAAAAAATTGGATTACACTTGAGTATGTTCTCTAATTGAGACTTTTTGCAAGAACACAAATTTGTAGAAAATTGTAAACTAGATTATGTAGATTATGCATACATATTCTTAGTTTTACAAGGCATTACATAGGATTAAACCCGATATAGTTTCCATAATGTGTAATTAGAGTGGCTTAATATTATGGCCATAATGTCCGTTACAACCAGGCCATAAATTTGTTGTTTTTTGGAGGATATATTAGATAATAAAACCTCACTCTGACATTGTGTTATTGTTTAAACAAAATTAAAGATCATTGTTCTGCAAACTAATTTTAGAAACAAGATTAAATCATATTTATAAAGAATTTTATCAACATACTATTTTACTCCCATCAAAGAACTTCGACATTGACTCAAAGAATCTTTCAAGAGATTTTATGAGCTAAATACAAATTAAACATATAGAGACCTCTCGTGTTGAAATTCCATAAGCTAATTATCATTTATATGGATTGCCAAGAGGTTTTGTGCATATACAACAACTCTCATACACTGGACATATCACCAAAAATATTCATATCCCTCATATTAATAAAGAGAAAATACATTTTATTTACATATGAAAGAGTAATATTTGGTTCATAAGAAGTGTAACACAAACAAAGACTTAAATGACTTAAATGCGTAAGATAATGCATTATGGCTAATTGAAAACATTATGATTTAGGATAGTCTGATTTCAATCACCTGAATGGTTCTTAATGAACTTTAAGTATAGAGAATGGCAAAAATACTATTTAAGCTGACAATCATTGAAGTATGAGGGAGACTCAATTGACAGATAAACAACTGAGATTTTATTATCCCTAGTTAGTAAGATTACATTGGTGTGCTTTTACAAGTACAACACATAAAGATAAATTCCACTCATTATTTTTAATATAATTTCTTAAAAATTAATAATCAATTTTGTAGATATATTTAATATTTATTTTTATCATATTTAATATTGTAAATATTAATTAAATTTTAAATAAATAAATAAATAACTCTCATTTTCGTGTTTTTATTTTTTAAATAACTCATTTCAAATCTTAATTTAAACCCTTATATTCATTGAACATTTGAACCATACATGAACAAATTTTCCTTTTGTGGAGTAAACATGTAGTAAACCAAATAAAATCTTGGCCTAACAATGTGAATCAAATTTTAAGATCGCAACTTGTTATCATTTTAAGTACATTTTATGTGTGTTTACGCAGGTAATGCACCCTAGAAAGCACCTCAAATATTTATGAGGAAAAAGTTGGCAAAGCAATCAAATTTGAATCCAGAAACCAATAAATCTATTATATAAAGAGTAGAACCCATTATAAACATTGTCAGAACCGTAAAGAAAAATGATATCATCTTCTCCCTCCAAACTATTTTTATTATCATTCATTCTTTGCAGTCTCTTCCAAGAACACACTCATGCCCTTAAAAAGGCAAGCATGTCCATAATCTCTTCATAATAATATTCATATTTTTTTTAAATACAAACAAGTTTTTTTCATGAAAACAATATATATTTTTTCATAATTATTTTCTCTTTTTGTAGGCATATATTGTATACTTGGGAGGACATTCTCATGGTCCAAATCCTTCTCTTGATGATCTTGACTCAGCCACAAATTCACATTATGATTTACTTGCTTCAATCTTAGGAAGGTCTATATATGTATATATATATAGGAATTTATTTATGTTATTATGAGACTAGAGAAATTTAGTACTATAAAAATGTTGTATTTTTTGTAACAGCCATGAGAAGGCAAAGGAAGCAATTATGTATTCTTACAATAAACACATAAATGGATTTGCTGCATTACTTGAAGATGAAGAGGCATCGAAGATTGAAAGTGAGAAACATGGATAAGTTTTTTGTCATTTTTTAAGACATTATTTTGTTTGACGCATGTTTTTGTTGGTGTAGAGAACTCGAATGTAGTTTCTGTTTTCTTGAGCAAAGAATATAAGTTGCATACTACAAGGTCATGGGGTTTTCTTGGATTGGAAAAAGATGGAGGAATTTCTCTTGATTCTGCTTGGTGGAAAGCAAGATTTGGTGAAGATTCTATCATTGCTAATTTAGATTCAGGTAAAAATATTTGTTGATCAAATAAAAAATTCAAGTAAATTCTTCATATTACATGTAAATGTAATAGAGGAAAAGATTTGAAACTGATATTAATGTATGGTTGTTTTCTTCTTCTTCTTCTTTTTAATTTCATATTACTGAAATATTAAAATATGAATAAGTAAATATTACTTTCTTCATCTCCAAAAGCATATTTTTAAAATATTAAATTTGAGTAAAATTATTATTTTTTCGATTTAATTTATTTGTTAAAGAGAGAATATAATAGATTTTACTCAAATTTCATAAGTATTTGGGTTTGAATTCCAGTCAAAATTATATTACTGAATAATATGTTAATATCTTTATCATATTTTTTAGTTTTGAGATTTTTTTATTATCCTGGTGAGCCTATCAAATTTAAATTTAATGTTATTCATTTTACAAATTAGTTAATAAATTATTGTTTATAAAAAAATTATCTAAATTTTTTTTTTAAGATAGAAAATATAAATGTGGAAGAGGGATGTGATATTTATTTTAATCTGTAAACAAAGTGGTAAGAACCACTAAAAACTCATGAACACAACCGTTAACAATAGAGTTTGAAATTTATCAATAAAAATTCTCATTAAAATAAAAACTTATAGTATCATAAAATTGAGTTGAAAACTCTTTAAAATTCAATTGTATATATAATTTATAAGAAAGAAGATATTTAAATACATGTTACTTTTGAGTTTAACGGTGATGTATTGACAGTGTAAAAGAGTTTTATGTTGTCATCTAATAAAAATATATTATTCTGTTATATTATATAATTAGTTTATAGAATTTATAGAAGAAAAAAAATTGTAGTAGTAGAATAGTTGAATAATAGATGTTACATAGTTCAATCTCTTTCAATCATATTTATTTGTATTTTTTCATGTATATAGAGCATTGATGAGAGTTTTATTGTTGAAACAGGCGTTTGGCCAGAACATGTGAGCTTCAGCGGTATTGGATATGGTCCAGTGCCATCAAAGTGGCGTGGGAATGGGGTCTGTGAGATTGATCATTTTATTACTTCTTCTAATGCAACAACATTATGTAACAGGTCACTTTCTTCACTTTTTTCATTCCACAGTAGATTATCATTTTTTTTTCCTTACTATAAAGTACATCAACAGCATTGCATATACTTAAATTCGCGTTCAGAATTAAATTCATAGTACTATACTATTTAAGTGTTTGTCGTTTTCTAAATAAAACTTATTATTTCTCTACCTATCATAAACTTTGGATATCATACAAAATTTTATTGGAATGTGTTAGGTCAAAGTTTAATATAATATCAGAGTTTAAGAAAATCTCAAGTTTCATATCGGTTAATGATAAGTCTATTTCTCAACCGCTATGTTATGTGACAAATTATAGAAAGCTAATTGGAGCAAGAATATTCAGCAAAAACTACGAAGCACTATATGGAAATCTCAACCCTGCAAACCTCACTGCACGTGACTTCATTGGCCATGGAACACACACCTTATCAACAGCCGCAGGTAACTTTTCACCTGACGTAACAATTTTTGGCAATGGCAATGGCACTGCAAAAGGTGGATCGCCTAGAGCACGTGTAGCGTCCTACAAAGTATGTTGGTCGAAGACGGATGTTGCTGGATGTCATGAAGCTGATATTCTAGATGCTTTTGATCATGCTATAAATGATGGGGTTGATGTGATTTCGACTTCTTTGGGTGGTTCTAATCCTTATGTCGAGGCTTTGTTTACGGATGGGATTTCGATTGGGGCGTTTCATGCTGTTGCGAAGAATGTTGTTGTTGTTTGTTCTGCTGGGAATGATGGACCTGGTCCTAGGACTGTTACGAATGTTGCTCCTTGGTCTTTTACTGTGGCGGCTAGTACAATTGATAGGGAGTTTGTTAGTCAGATTTCTATTGGTGGCAAACAATATATTAAGGTTAAGAAACATTTCAATTATATTCTATTGGATGGAGTAAAGTTTAAGAAACATTTATGCAGACCCTCTTCCCATTACATTTTATTGGATTGAATTTCAGGGTGCAAGTCTTAGTAAAGGCTTACCATCAGGTCCATCAAAGAAAATATATCCAATGATTCATTCCATCGATGCTAGATTTCTCAATGCAACAATTCAAGACGCGTAAGCACATATTCATAAACTTGTTTCAAATAGATACAATATTTTTTCATTGTTTCATATGGGTTTGTGTTGCATATATGTGTCTGTTATCGCAGCCGTTATTGCAAGCCTAGAACACTTGATCCTACCAAAGTAAAGGGAAAGATATTAGTCTGCACTCGACTCCATGAAACAACATCTATAGCTCAAGGCTTTGAAGCTGCTCTTGCAGGGGCAGTAGCAGTTTTTGTGATCAATGACGAAAAAAGTGGAAGCATACTTCTAGCTGAGCCTCATCCTTTACCTGGTGCAAGCATGGATGCTAATGAGGATGACGATATTGACGAGCGCGAATGGTTCGGAAAAGGTGGTACAGACAATAACGTTACCAGGTAAACACATATATGTTTAAAATCTATGCATTGACAGTATAAAAAAGTTTTACTTCTGTTACATTCTAAAAATACTTGCAGCAAATGAAGAAGTTTGTTGATTTAAATTATACTGCAGGAGAATGCTTGCTTACATGTCGGCTTCAACAACATATACCGGATTAAAGCCAGCTCCAATTATGGCTGGATTTTCATCTAGAGGTCCTAGTGCAGTGCAGCCATTGATACTCAAGGTCTGCAAACATTTATAAGCAACAACGCTCCTCAAGTTTTAAGCAGTTTTTATGTACTCTCCTTCATTCTTCTTGTGATTGCAATGCTTTTGTTTTCTGTTTCAGCCTGACATAACTGCTCCTGGAGTGAACATATTAGCTGCATATTCACTAGGCACCAGTCCATCTAATCTACCGTCCGATCCACGCCGAATTCCTTACAATCTGCAACAAGGAACCTCCATGTCTTGTCCTCATGTTGCTGGCATTGTTGGTCTTCTCAAGACACTTCATCCGAGTTGGAGTCCAGCCGCTATCAAATCAGCCATCATGACTACCGGTACGATTCCACGAAAAATAAAATGTTTCTCTACTTCTATGTAAAATGTTTCAGTTTCCTTACTAAAAGCTATGTTCATCTTGCAGCTACAACACTAGATAACACCAATCAACCGATCCGTGACGCGTTTGATAAGATATCAACTCCATTCGAATATGGTTCTGGACATATTCAACCTAACCTCGCAATGGATCCTGGTCTTGTTTATGATCTAAACACAATAGATTACTTGAACTTCATATGTGCTTCTACTCACAGTCAAAATTTACTAAAGTTCTTTAACGAAACCTCTTTCACTTGTCCTGAATATTACAACATTGAAGATCTCAACTATCCTTCAATTACGGTACATAATCGAGGGTTAAACACTATAAACATTACTCGTACCGTTACGAATGTTGGTTCTCCAAGCACATATGTTGCTCACGCTCAACATCCTGAAGAGCTTAAGGTTTATGTTCAACCAAGTTCTTTAACTTTTGCAAAAATTGGAGAAAAGAAAACATTTCAGGTGATTCTTGAAGTAACAGGTGTGCCTCCTAGTGGTTTTCCAGTATTTGGGAGTTTGAGATGGACAAACGGTAACCACATGGTGACTAGTCCTATTGTAATTCTGTAAGTTTAGAAATCTCTTATGAAGAACATTGTGTTGTCGTTTTTAAGATTGTGTGTTAGTGTGTATTGTTATTAGGTTGTTAAGGTAGAGTGTGTTTTTTTAGTATTGGAATGTTTAAGGTATTGAACAAATGTTATGCTGGAGTTATGTTTGTAATAGGCACTTTAGTAATAATGTCTTGGGTGTGTTTGGATATGCTGCTAGAACAAAAATGGTGTTATGTGGCAATATTAAAGGTCACTTCCAAGAAATTTAATTACTCATATCCACTTAAATGAAACATTTAAGGGTTTTCATTAAGAGCCTCTCTAATGGCGAGAATTTAGTGATTTTTTAAAGTTTATCATTAGAGTTTGCTGATGTGGGATTGTTTAAATTTAAGAAATGAAACTTTTTCAAGTAATTTCAAAAGTGAAGAATTTAACATTAAAATATTATTAGTTTTTAGTCAATTTAATGGAAAAATTAATTCATGGTGGTTGACAATTGAATGTATTAGTTAAAAAAATTAAATATGTGTAACATTATACTTATTAATAAAAGTGGTAAACAAACATTTAATTTCATTTTGCTATAACTCCTACTTTCATTTTAAAAGATGGAATGCATTAATTTTTTTCTTTCTTATTTTACTGCAGTATGTTTTGTTATTTTGCTATAACATTTAAAAGTGATACAATGCATTAATTTATTTTTCATTTCATTGTTATTATGACAGGTTTTCATTTATGTCAAAATGATGGAATGTATTTATTGTATTTTCTTATTTTACTGCAACATGTTTTCATTTATGTGAAAAGATGAAATACTATTTTTGTATTTCTCGTCATTAATTTTGGGCATGAAAACAATGAAAATTAATTTTTGTATTTTTTTTTATTATGTATTTTATTTTTTGTCATTATATATTTTTTTATTATGTACTTTATTTCTCACATTATGTCTTTTATATATTTTTTAATATTATATATTTTATTTCTTGTCATTTATGTATTTTTTTTAAAATTTATCATTTTTTATATATTAATTATAATTGAATTAATTAATTAATAGACTTAAAATGTTGTGTAAAAAATAATATAAATTAGTGGGGTCAAATATATGTTGCTTATTTACAATTAGCGTTGAAGCAAAAATAGTTGAGATTGCTTATAGATTGCTTAATTGCAATGTGGCAATTTGGACCCACAAAATATAACACAAACAACCAAAATTAGTTCTCCCGTTGAATTGAATATGCTCTAAGAAACCCCCATATCATAAGAGTAAATTGACTACACCCAATGTATTGTCACCATATCCTCAACCACGCAATAGCAGTGCATTTCTACTACGTCACCTTCCTAACCACGTTGTCACTATAGTTCTATTAGTCTGGGATTTTTATCTGACGAAAAGTCAGCAAGGGTGATAGTAACTACGTTGGAAATGCTAAATGTTAAAAGTTGAATCCAACCGCTTCGACATACCAACCATGTCGACTAAGTGGTTTAATCAGTTGAGTTGAGGTCAAGAATGATTTATAGGAGTCTTGGGAACAGATCCACAAGATTAAGATCACTCTCTTTTTCAAATATGTTTAAATTTTCCAAAAGGTTATAAAACTCTTCAACAAAGTCGAGATCGACACGTTCGACAAATGTTAAAGACTTAGGATATTCTCAAGCCTAAAGACTATGTAATGTGGAGAGGTCTCAACAATGCTATAGAAATCAACTAATGACTCTGGACAGATACAGTTTAAAGAGGTTCAAAGCAGATATCAATATAATTATCACCATGTTTGTTTGGTTTTCAAAAGTTTCTCTTTGAAGACGCGTGGAAGCAAATTAGAGAAAAGTTGTCCACCTGTGAGACACGCAAACATGTAGCAAACGACCATTGTCAACAGATATTTAAGACTAGTATATAATGTAGGCTAATGCATGTACATGAGAAATGTGAGTCCGGGTCCATTTTTTAAACTTTTTGAAAAAAAATTATATTCAAAATATTTAACGAGTAATGTCATTTACTTCATTTATTATTTATTATCTTTATCCAAAGTTTATTGTTAACATCTGGTTATAAATGAAATATTTAAACTCAAATCCAACACACTTTTCATTATTTCTTTTCTTTACACAAATTGTCTTTGAGATTATTTGAATTAATCTCTTAAATGAACTAAACCAGTGATTGTTTATCAAATTTGCCATTAAGAGTCGGCCGATTTATTACATCAAACTAACAATTTTGAAAAAATTAAATTTGTTTTTCTTATTCTATCAATCAAGATCAAACGGTTTATTACATCTTGACTCTGTGAATGCAACAAAAGTTTGATTGAAAAATATTCAAATCTGTGGGCTAGGTTAGATCATCAACATATTTACTATTGTACAAATGGTACAACTAAAAACTACCAGATTCAATAACATGTGGAACTGTTCAAATTTTTCTGCTACCGATAGCTTTTCCATTATTACGGTTATGCAATTTTGTCTTTAGTTATGCGGTAGAATGAGAAAACACACTACTATTTCTTCGCTCAATCCATTCAGAAATGAAAAAAAAACATTTCACATATTTTTCACCTTCAATCCTCCAACAAAGTAAAGAGAAGAAGAAGAAAAAATAATGAAGCCTCAGTTTGGTATTGTGAAAAAATGTGCATCAAGCATCGTGTCATCGGTTTTTGTTTCAGACGGCACTTGCTAATAGCAAGTAGTCATCATTGGCTTCAGTGATTCAAAGATTTAAAGAGGAAAAGAAAAACAACATGAAGAAAAAAAACTCAGTAAGCGAAAAAATAAACTTTTGTATTACGCCGCAATTATCAATTCGGTTATTAATAGTTTATATAGGCATAACCCTAACTCGTTTTTTTTAATCATAAAACTCTCTTTATTTTTTGTTTTCATTTCACCTACTGATCTCACCGGTTGATCAGAACCTGAGGTGAGTCAAAGAAAATCCTCTGTGATGTTAGGTGTGAAAGAGGAGGAGGGGGTGTACCTACAAGGCACTCCGATGTTAAAGTAAGAAAACGAGTAAGAGAGATAGAGAGAGAGAGCAAGTACAGAATATGAGTATTTCAGGGTGAATATTGGATACCTAACTCTCTCAAGTTAGAGGGTTTTTATAATGTCATCAGCGCTTCGTCATTGGTCCCTATTTTTGGGGCGACATAATCGTTTTCCAAAGAATAGGTAATTTCCAAAACTAGCAGTTGGAACGGGCATATTTGCCCATAACTAGTTGTTGCTACGGATAGGGGCGTAGTTACGGGCACAGGTGTTTTTCCTGTTTCTGGATGGAGGAACCGTGCGTGACGGGAAGAGACTGACGAGGAGAAGTGATGTGACCAAGGGTAAATTGGTCAGCCTCCCCTGTTGGGGGAAGAAAGGTAAATTCCCCCCCCCCCCCCAAGTGGTTGGACTTAGGCAATTGGGTCGTTCTGGAAGGAGATATGGATTGGGTCATGCCTAGCCATTGGGCCAGTCCGGAACAGTAGCCCCCTAAGTCGTTGCTACTGAGCATGGTAGTGATGACTTAAGGACAATCTGTTTCTCGGGCACAGTCGTCGTAAGCTACTTTGTGCTCGAAGGACTCTGTGCCCGGGCATCTGAAACGTTGCTTTCCGGGGAGCTCTAGGTCCGGGGAGACCAACGGTTGATGAGATCTGAAGAGTGGAAATGTCACGTGTGCCTCGAGCCATGTGCTGCATTAAATACGTGATAATGACTAGGCTAAGGTTACGATGATGCCCTACCCGTGCGTGCTCGTGCACGTGTATGGGGTTTGCCTATAAATAGTGAGAGAGTCTGCTCATTTAGAACTTTCACTTATCTCTTTTCTTGTTCTATGTTCATCGTTCTCCGTCGCTTGCCGCCGTCAAGTTTCGTTCTGACCACCGTACCAAGTCCGACCAGAGCTACTTAGACCAGAAGTTTCTTCCTTGACCAAGTAAGTATGTCGATTATTTATCTGCTATCTATTTTTCTGGTTAATATGCTTTAGAATGCATACAGTTAAGGCTGAAATGAGGCATTTTGTGGTGGCTATTGGTGGCAGACAGTGGTTCGGCCACTTTCTCTGTTGTTGGCGATGTACTGGTTGTTTAGGAAAGAGAAATTTAGCAAGCCATAAGTTTTTAGTTGATCCCGGAGTAGTGATGGCACGATGGTGTTTGCCGCTGAAGGGAACCATGGATTCTGATGTGCTTACGAGATTTCTAGTGGTTCCCTTATGAGAATTTTGGGTTTTATGCGCGGGGAGCTTTCCTCGGATGCGCCAGGGAGAATTTTTGGACACTTCCTCGTTTGTTTAGCTGTGCCATTTGAGTAGGGATTAGGTCAAGGATGTTGTCCTTGGCCTTTTGCACGCTCTTTCACTTGACTAGCAGTGGAAGGGTGAATTTGAGTTTGTCATCGAATTCACTTTTATCTTGTGCATTTCAGGTAAAGGAAATATCGCGCAGGGCTGATGAAGAAGAACACCTTAGAGATTTGTTTGAGGATAGCTCCTCGGAAGATACTGAATCGGATGATGATTCCACGTCCCCTGAGGCTGGAGGGGCGAATGCTGCGAAGACCTCGGCCGAGGAGTGGATTGTGGTCGAGTTGATGGAGCATGCCTCGCTTTTCACTTCATACACCGAGGATGTGTTCACCACGGTGGGGCCCAAGGGAAAGTGAAGGGCCAACTTCTCTTTGGAGAATGACCGTATATGCTCGGCGTACGGGGAGAGATTTCCTATGTACGAGTATGGTTTTAAAGAGATAGGGTTGAGGTTGCCCTTTACAGACTTCCAACGGGCAGTCTTCGTACATTTAGACTTGGCGCCTTCCCAACTGCATCCAAATTATATTGCCTTCATGTAGGCATATGAATTGGTGTGCGAGTATTTGCAGATCGGGGTCACTCTTCTGCTTTTCTTCACTGTCTTTCATCTTCAACGATAGGTGTCGGGGAGGCAATTTGGTTGGGTTTCTCTGAAACAGGGGAGGAAATTATTCAAA